GTCTCAAAATTTATAAAAACGCTGCATTCATAGGTACTTTACATATTCCAATGATTTTTCTAATATCAACTGAACTAAATAGAACACGTTTAGTATATGATATACATTTTTAATTTGGCTTTAATTTCGTTTGTAAAATAAATTCTGAAGTAAAGCCAGTGTCGCTGTCGCTCGACCCAATCAAAATAGCCCATATTAGTACGAAAAAAATTTGAATTCGACCTGAGGTAGTATCGACTCTTAAGTATTAATGTACAGGGACTCTAAAATGAATATATATTCTAAATAAAGTAAATACAGTTGCAAAATAGTAGTGTTCGGGAAAAGTATGTTACGACTGGCGAAATGGCGGCAAATAAAAACTTTTGACATGCGTGAGATGTCACGCAACCGCAGTTTTTATTTTTAATTCATAGACAAACTAGAATCGACCCCAACTATCATATCGTTCGATATCAAGTAACGAGTAAACATGTCAAAATAGTTTCCTATTTACATTTCATTTCGAATAAAACTTAATCTCGACTGATATTAGAATTGAGGTCCAATCTAGTTGTTTTGTTTTTCAGAGATGTTCGAAATTTGAATGTAATAATAACATCGAATTCGATGATAATATGAAGCAATAATAACATTTTCACAGATAAGAAATTTATTCTAACAATACAGTTTACCTTTACGCTGGTCGTATTAATATTTTAAAACACAATGCCCAAGCTTTGTTAGTTGCCTGATTTTAATGGCTGTGAATAATAAAATTAATGTTATGTAGTATATGTATATTTCGCTACATAAAACTCTTTAATAAAATAAGTGATTGGAGAAATGAGAAAATACTTATTATTACAATCTTTTTGTGTTGATATGGGTAGTAAGATAATTTTTTTTTGACACAAAAATTATATATATATTTATATAGTTATATAGTTGTGATTAGTACATGCATGTCTATTACGTGAAATTGACATGAGTGTGTAAATTGATGAATCGGGCAAGAGTTTAATGTAACTAACTACCTTAGAATAATAACGCATAGAAACCTAGCCCGCACACGCTAAGTGAGGCAAATTGAAGCGCTCCCAAAGGGCCTACACGAACGGGCGGGCCTTCAGTGCTCAAGGTCAACTTGCACCGCGAACAGATCAAGAATTTTAGCTAAAAATGACGAAATGTGCGGTAAATGAGTGTAAAAATACGTCAGACAAACATAAAATAGATAGTAACATCACATTAACAAGGAAGTAACGCGTTTCAACTTGTATTTGTATATAAATTGTTTCTGAAAATTTGTAAGTTACTTTGTGGTACAATAAAGTGTTTAAATAAAAATAAATAAATAAATAAATATTCACTAAAACCGAAAATTAACCTGCTACTAAAACTAGCCTACATGAATTTGATTTTTGCCTCACTTGTGACAGTTCGTTTGATATGAAACTATCATTCTATGCGTTATTATTCTAAAGTAACTAACTACCTTATTGCTTGGTTTTGTGAGTTCTGGGTTATTGCACTTTAAGTTTATTTTTATTAGTATTGCTCATTTTTAAATGATTACTGGATTGAGAGTAGGTGCCTACATATGAGGCAAATTTTATAATTGCTAGATTTTTTATTAATGCAAGATTAAATATTTATAAAAGAGAAATAAAATATAATTGTCGCCCTTATCACTGGGCGAAAAACTTACTTAACTGCCTCTGTGGCTGAACGGTTATCGTGCTCGTCTGCCACGCAGAGGTCCCGGGTTCGATTCCCGCCAGGAGAAATTTTTGTATCGCCTGCATTTACTTCTCTCGTAAGTTTGTAATTTGTGGTCGTCTATGTGTGTGTCCATGCAAGACTTTGAGTGTGTATGTTATTATTATTAGTTGTTTAACCACCTAGGTAGAAAGATAGTTATGCTTGTTTTTTATGTTGCATTTTATTTTAATTTTCAGCTTGTCCAGATGCGTTATTTGACCAACTATCGCGTAGCAAAGTAGCCAAATATATAAAAACTTTAAAGGAAATCAACATTGCTTTCATTCCATATGAACAACAGGTTTGTCCTTGTTATTTTGCTCACTAAATAGATTAGTTTAATTTTACCAAACAATATGGCATTGTTTATGCATATTCTGGTTTACATATTATACAGGGTCCGTCCCAAAAGTATCGAACATTTTTTTTGGGAGTGTTGCCGAACGGCGGGAAGCGCTCCGCTTGGCAACAGAAAGTGGTGGGGGGATCTAGCCGATACAGCGCGACCGGTCCCAGTTGGCTCCGAGCACCTGGAGCGGCAGGACGTGCGTTCGCGTAGAGCTCTAAACGACACCTCGTCGAAGTTTTTAAAAGTAGCGCGATGACGGATCCGTTAGAACAGAGGTACGCAGTGAAATTTTGTGTTCTACTCGGCAAAAATACTGTGGAAACCAACGAGATGATTAAACAGGCCTTCAAGGACAAAGCCTTGTCCGAATCCTCGGTCAGGAAGTGGCACAAGATGTTCCGTGACGGAAGGGAAGAGGTGGCCGACGAAGCCCGCTCTGGTCGTCCTTCAACATCGCGGACCGACGAGAACGTTGACCGTGTGCGTCAGCTTCTCAACGAGGATCGTCGTCAAGGAGTGCGGTTGATAGCACAGACCCTCAACATCGCCAAGTCGACCGTGCATCGCATCGTGACCGAGGAGTTGCACATGCGCAAGGTGTGCGCCAAGCTGGTGCCAAAAGTGTTAACGGATGAGCAAAAGGACTTGCGGGTGCTGCGCTGTCGTGAACTGTTGGACTTGTGTGAACGTGATCCGGACTTTTTGGATACAGTGATAACAGGAGACGAGACCTGGGTATTTGAGTATGACCCGGAGACGAAGCGCATGAGTGCGGAGTGGCACACCTCGGCGTCACCCCGTCCGAAAAAGGCCCGGATGAGCAAAAGTCGAGTGAAATGCATGCTCATTGTGTTTTTTGACGTGCGCGGTGTCGTCCACCACGAGTTCGTGCCCCAAGGACAAACTGTGAACTCCGCTTTTTACGTGGAAGTGCTCAAAAGGCTCCGGCAGAGGGTCACTCGCGTGCGGCCAGGAATGAAAGACACGTGGCGGCTGCACCATGACAATGCGCCAGCGCACACAGCCTTCATTGTTAGCAACTATCTGGCCAAAGCAGGAGTCCCGCTGGTCCCGCCCCGCAGCCTCCCTACAGTCCTGACGTCGCCCCGGCAGACTTCTTCTTGTTTCCCAGCATCAAGTCGAAGCTCAAAGGCAAGCATTGGGGCACAATTAAGGACATCCAAGAAGCTACGACGAGGGCGCTGAAGGACCTACCCGTTGACGTCTTCCAGGGGGCCTTCCGGGCATGGAAAACTCGCCTACAAAAGTGCATCGATGCTGAAGGGTGTTATTTTGAAGAGTACTAATGTATGGTACCGATAAGTTCAATAAAAGTATTTTTCCTGAAAAATGTTCGATACTTTTGGGACGGACCAGATATATACCGTTCACTACATCCATAATATCATCTCCTCTGCTCAAATCTTGCCATAACTCGCAAATTTCTTTGTAAGTAATTATTTCTGTGTACCAAATATGCGTTTTGCGCACGCTGCTATGGATAGTGTGTCCGGAGGAATTGTTCAACGAGCTGTGCAAGTCCACAGCGGCGCGGAAAATCAAAACTTTGAAGGAGATCAACATCGCCTTTTTGCCTTACGAAAGCCAGGTAATATGGTTATCGAAGAACTTGACCCTTACTCAAGCTAAACTCCTCATTTCGATTTATTCAAAGGGTTTTCATATCTATTTTTACCATAAGACGTGACATCCGTTTGGCGATATAGGCTCGGCGCAGATATTTTTAATTTACCACGAAAATTTTGCACTTAATAAGAAAAAGCTTTTATTGGCTTCACCTTCAGTAACCGGGCCATTAGAAGGGAGGTCATTGCAGTCAAAAGAAAATAAACTGGAGTCTGTGCAAATCATCAATATTATTTTCCTATGTAGGTATTCTCCCTGGACTCTCCGGAAACGTTCCAGTGCATGTACAATCCCGCTCTTCTAAACACACGCAATGCGAACATGGAGCGTATTGCGGAACAGATCGCGACGCTCTGTGCGACACTTGGAGAATATCCCTCTGTCAGATATCGCAGGTAAACATATCGTATATACACATAACAGCATCAGTATCAGTTATGTCTAACCGTCGTCTGAAGTTAGGTTTTTTTTTTTAAAAAAAAAGGAAGTAATAGTCTAACTCAGTGTTGGGTAAAGTAAGTCACGCGGGCCAACTCCGGCCCGTCAACGTCCCTTCTAAAGTGTATAGCCCTCGAAAATATATTTTGAAAACCTCGTCGCTATTGACACACAGTATAACATATACAGGGTGAAATCGAAATCATTAGCATACTTGGGAAATGAAACTATTTTTCGGGATTTATATCGCATATATTTGTTTTTTCAATCAAACCGACGTTTCGAGCCCTTTACAAGTCCCATGGTCACAGTTGGTTGAGAGTCAATCGTGACCATGGGACCTGTAAAGTGCCGGTTTGTTTGAAAAAACAAATATACGCGATTTAAATCCGGAAAAATAGTTGCATTTCCTATGTGAAACAATCGCGAAAACCTAAGAACTCGATACATGAGCATACTTTTAAAATAAAACTATATTCACAATACAAATTACATTAAGAAAAAAAATTCACAAATCATAACTGTCAGTATTGTAACTAAAAAAAATCGGAAATACTTTACACACATACCATGCGATAGATATTATTATTGCAAATAATCATAAAATAATAATAACAATAAAATAAATAAAAATGCACGCCATTAAATATTCAAGTATCAAATGCAGTAGTTGTCATAACAAATATCTCGTACATATCTACAACCTTTAATTTTGCACTGCACACATACGTTTCTTTGTAAACAAAGATCTGTTTCTGGTACCTAATGGAAAGTCGAGAGTGGAATGTGGATGCATTTCCAGAACCCGCTATATTTCAATTTCTAGAGTCCGCTCATATGACATAGCATGCTAAACATCAGGTGTTTTTTTTTTATTTAGGCGGTTAGTCTTGAGTGGCAACAATTAATAATGATGTCAAGATTAGCCTACATTTCAGGATCTGCTTGCAGCTTATCAGTCTAAGAATATTTTATATTTATCTCAAAACAAATTGTTCTGCTGTGAATATTGAGCTGAAATTTATAGGTGGTCATTCAGGTGGAATACGTACAGCTTTTACTATGAGGAAACACAAAATAATCAACTGGTCCGTACATTTGGATTGAATATGTATAAACATGCCTAAACGTTTTTTCTCAGTGACTGGGAGCGCAATGTCGAGCTGGCTCAACTTATCCAGCAAAAATTAGATGCCTACAAGGTATGAAATATTTCTTACTACTAAAATATTCATTTTTCGAAAATTGTATGTATTTTGTCTCTATGATATGTTGAAATGGAATGGAAACCCCCAAAATGGTGAATGATGAATTGCTACAATGTATATTTATTTGTTACTCGCAGTACACATTATGGATCACATACATACCTCACCAGTCACAACAAAAAACTAGTGATTTAATAAAATAATTTTGTTCTGATGTAGGCTGACGAACCCACAATGGGCGAGGGTCCGGAGAAGGCGCGTTCGCAGCTGCTGGTGTTGGACCGCGGGTTCGATTGCGTGTCGCCGCTGCTGCACGAGCTCACGCTGCAGGCCATGGCCTACGATCTGCTGCCCATCGAGAATGATGTCTACAAGTATGAACCATATAAGCACCAACCACTAACATGGCCGGGTGCTGCGACATAACAGTTACCATAGCGAGCAATACATTTTACTACTTGAAGTATATAGTTATATTAATTTTTGATCCCACGAAACGACAATGTTAATTAAATGACAATTGGGTCACATACATGCTAAGCAAGGTGATGTCATACCAAATTTCGCATGTAAGAGCAGCTTTTTAGAATAAATTCTGATGTTTACGTTTCGTTCAGGTACGAAGCTGGCCAAGGACAAATGAAGGAAGTGTTGCTAGACGAAAACGATGACCTGTGGGTAGAGCTGCGCCACCAGCACATCGCCGTAGTCTCCACCTCCGTCACCAAGAACCTGAAGAAATTCACCGACTCTAAGCGAATGGGCACAGGTAATTAGGTCACCTAGACCCATGCTTCATCGAGGTCACAAATTACTTAATACTTACTACGTAACAGATACATAATCTCATACAAAATCGAAAATACCTACGCTATAATAGCGCTCACTACGAGGGAAAAGGAACCTAAACACGCGCTCAAAGAGGTGAAAATAACGTTGCCCGTCTTGTGCAGTCGTGCGGAGCCGAATGCTCATAGATGAAAGACTTGTATGAGCGCTTACTCCGACGTCGGTACACTCATTGGTAGGCATTTATCGCGTAACCTTGAGCGAGTGACGGAGCCCTGCCAATTTTCCAGACTGCTTGGCACTCAAAGAGATTTTTTATGCATGGCGTAAATGGTACCCCGAAAATCTTTACTTACGGTGCGTCAATACAACGCGCGAGTACCCATAATGTTCCCACTATGTCGTGACGACAGATAGTCTTGCAGTTTACAGTGTCGTGTCTTGTGTATTTAAATGAAGTTCTTCACATATAGAACGATGCACCTGCCCCCTGGTTATCACAAGATATTAAGATCGCTATGGCTCTCAGAGATAAGGCGAAACGACGCTGGAAGAGGCTTCCTACAGATGACAACCTAGCTCGTTTTAAGTACCTGCGTAATCGCTGTAGTCGCTTGTGTAGAGATGCTAAGAGACGGCACATTCACGATAACGTTGAGAAATGCGATTCCACTCAGATCTGGAAATTCCTAAAGTCCATTGGGATTGGTCGTACCATTGCTTCTGGTGATTCGTCCCTTCCTGATCTTAACGCGCTTAATAGACATTTTTCCCTACCCCCTGTTACTTTAGATAAGCATCGTAAAAGCGCTACCCTTCGCATTTTGGCTGACTATACTTTACCGGCATGTACCTCTTTCTCCTTCCGGACTGTTGCCGAATGTGAGGTCAAAACCCATATTCTCTCTATTTCTTCTACTGCTGTTGGCAATGATGATCTCAGTTCCCGTATGATTAGCCTCATACTCCCTGAACTTGTCCCTATCCTCACTCATGTTTTTAACTTCTCTTTACAAGCTAGTTCTTTCCCTTCTCATTGGAAACTCGCCCATGTTATACCTTTACCCAAAACGTCTAACCCTACTTGCCTTTCCGAATTCCGTCCCATCTCCATTCTCCCATTTCTATCCAAAGTCCTCGAACACATTGTCAACAAGCAGTTAATGTTGTATCTTTCTTCTAATAAGTTGCTTTCCCCGTTTCAGTCAGGTTTTCGTTCTGGCCATAGGACTGTGACTGCACTGTTGAAGGTAACAGATGATATTCGCCTCGCAATGGACAATGGTCTTCTCACTTTGCTTATACTTCTGGACTTCAGCAGTGCTTTCAACTCTGTGGACTTTGACGTATTGCTTGCTTCCCTTCGCTCTTTTAATATTTCTCCTTCGGTTATAGCTTGGTTCGACTCCTACCTCAGAGGCCGCTCGCAGTGTATTCGCTCTGACGAGGCTTCCTCTGATTGGTGTGACTTAGTTGCTGGCGTTCCTCAGGGTGGTGTTCTTTCCCCTCTCCTTTTCTCTGTTTTCATCAATTCTGTCACTTTTGTGCTGTCTTCAAACTTTCATCTCCATGCTGACGATTTGCAGCTATACCGCAGTTTTAAAGCGTCTGATGTCGTTGCAGCCGTTGAAGCGGTTAATGCTGATTTACGATGCATCGCTCATTGGGCTGAGTGTTTTGGTTTGTTGGTGAATCCCAAAAAGTCACAGGCTATGATTGTGGGAAGTGGGTATATGCGTGGCATATTGCATCTAGATTCTGTCCCACCTATAGCGTATAATTCCACGCCTATTGCTTATGCTTCTACTGCAACTAATCTTGGCTTGCTTTTAGATTGTAATTTGGTTTGGACTCCACATATTAATGAAGTCATTCGTAAAGTCCATTTCTCCTTGCACTCACTTAAGCGCCTCCAAAACGATTTACCTTTAAAAACCAAAATATGTTTAGTCCAAACACTTATTTTGCCCTTCTTAGACTATGCTGATTCCTGCTATTTGGATGCTACTGAAGAACTGCTAAATAAGCTTGAACGACTGCAAAACCTATGTATAAGGTTCATCTTTGGGCTTCGTAAATATGACCGAATTTCACATTTCCGCAGTCAGCTCAAATGGCTTCCCATCCGTCTCCGCAGGAATTTGCATATTGTCTCCATTCTTTACAATATTTTACATAACCCTGTGTCTCCCGGGTACCTGAAAGAGCGTTTCAGCTTCCTTAGGTCCCAGGATAAACCCTGTCGCTCTCTTGTTAGGTCCCAGTTATCTTTTCCATGCTTCAATTCCGGTTTCTATTCTCACTCCTTCACTGTTCATGCGGTCAGACTTTGGAATGCACTTCCTATTACTGTTCACGAAAGTAAATCGTTAGCTATTTTTAAAGTGAGAGTTAAAGAGCATTATTTATCTACTATTCCATCCATATCTTAGGTATTATATTATAAAATATGTATTTATCTAAGTATTTATATAATTTATAACAATTTAATATTTTTATATTATTTTATATTTTTTTTTTCTTGTTTTGTTGTGCACATATGCCCGTTCTTTTAGTTATAGTGTCCTGTATTTAGGTCTGCAGGAAGAAATTTCTATTAGAAATAAGCAGAACCTTTTGTTTTTAATTTCGCTTGTATTCTTTGTGACTTGTTGTATTTTTCCTGTACAATAAACTATTAAATAAAATAAATAAATAAACGATACGATTAACTGTCCCTCACGATTTTTTTGTCGTTACGACGACAGACTGTCGTGATAATGGAAAGAGGTAGAACGATTGTCGTCAGACGATAAATAAAACGTCACGATAAAAACGTGACGACAGTTAGTCGCAGCTCCTATTGTCGTCACGATTTATTTATCGTTGTCTGCACATGTTCTGCTCCCCGCTTTCCCCTCTCGTACCCCGCGCCCTTGGTTCGCTTTGCACTAGCGTTAGGTCGTAGCCAGAGATGGGCCCGGATTTTAACCCGGCGCTATGTTAACGCCAGGTTTAAATCGGGTTAAAACCCATTAATGCCCGAAATCGAGGGCAAAAATTATTTACGACTAAATATTTCTTGTGAATAGAATTTTGTTCAAATTTAATTATACCTATTATTACAAAACTTTCTTTTCTTCGTTTGTTTCCTCTTCCGCCTTTTAAAAAGTAATACATTAGTATAATTTCATCTTCATCCATTTCACACGGGGGCAAAAACACTACTGGCTTCCAAAAGAACATAGAAGCTACTGCAGTGCAACAAACGACTCTTGTCGTGCAAAGGACAAGGCGGCTGCCGTGAAACGATAAATTATCGTCACGATCTTAGTGGTAACAGCTAGACACGGCAGTCGTTCAAAGATAAAATAATCGTCTACTCGTCGTGATATGGGAACAGGCTAGCACGACAACGACGCCAACGATAAATAAAACGTCACGACAACGTGCCCTTACGTGGACATGATCTTCAGATCAGCATTTAATGCACCCTGCCTGTTATATGATAATTTTCTATCAGCAAAAGTTATATATAATGAGAGGTCATTTGATTGGAATTGGCAACAACGATCCGGCGCACAATCAGCTCATTATCAATTTTTCATGCGTATTTTTCCCCATATGTCGCAAGTTTGCTGAAACAGATTCAAAACATTTTGATTTATAAAATGAGATAAGCATTATTATCGTACTAGTTTACATTGTCTCTTGGTATAACACATAGTTGAAGGCAGATAGGGTTTATAGATTGTGTAATTAATTATTAATGTAAATTGGAGACATATTAATATAAAGTAATACGACTTTTTTATGGAATTGATTTATTTACATTAATTAAATTCAAATGTTTTACTTCGGATCATTCATAGCTGGTCAGTAAAACAAAGAAAACAAACTAGTGGGTAATTTCACAAAAAATAATTTAATATCAATTCAATACAAATTTAAAAGAAAAACTTGACTAATGTTAGTGATTACATCTTATAAATATGTATACAATATGTTTAGGGTACAAATGGAGTTTAGTCCAGTGTTCAAGGAAAATAACCCTGAACCCTGCCAGCAATGATACTCATGATGCCGTTACCGCTTCCACGCACACTGCGAATCAAGGATGCCGCTCACTTTCATATGATGGCGGCAAACCCATTTAAATGTTCATCGGCGAACATTCCTGACGCACTACAAAATCGCAACAGCATCCTGAATATATAGTTGTACACTTTAAGGCCACAAATTCGGAACGGTTTCGGAAATTCGGAACGCAGACCTTGAAAGCCCCCTGCATGCACCACCGTAGCGAATTTGTGGTCTTAGAGAAGTGAGAGCTTTTTGTATGTAGTTGACCCAAAAACTGCAGGTGTAAAAAAAAATTATAATATTAAGTGACGGGACGAACAAGTCGTGCGCCTGAGGTAAGCTACACGCTTGTCCATAGCAGTTGCAGTGCCAAATATCTGAGGGGCACTGCCACTGCGCTCGTCACCCTGAGACATAAGTTGACAAGTTCCATGTGCTTGTAATTTCACCAGCACCCTTACCCTTCGAAACTGGAACACAGTAATGCTGACATTAATTCTTTTGGCAGAAATAGGTAAGGTGGCAGTACTACCCTGGACGAACTCTTCCACAAGGAGTTCTACTGCTGCTAAAATGTCATGCTGATAAAAAGAGAATAAAAATGTCACGGTGTATGTTGCAGGAGACAAGCAGTCGATGCGTGACTTATCTCAAATGATAAAGAAGATGCCGCAGTACCAGAAGGAACTGTCCAAGTACGCCACGCACCTGCGTCTTGCCGAGGACTGCATGAAGGCCTACCAGGGATATGTGGACAAGCTCTGCAAAGTTGAACAGGTGCGACAAAAAATAAGCTATAAGCCTCAACATCACACTCTATGTACACCGAGCGCATTTGCTATACAAATTTTATAATATGTACTGTAATGTTGTAAATTTTGTATGGCAAGCGCACCGCACTGCCATCGGGTGAGGGGTTAATTAAGTATACGGAAATAATTGTTTGTTTGTTTTTTATTAATTCTGTATAATAATATTGATATTGCTGCACTGGTTTGTATTTAAGTAAATAAACAATTTGATGTGATTTTTTTCTGACCTAGGATTTGGCCATGGGAACTGATGCAGAGGGTGAGAAGATCAAAGACCATATGAGGAGCATTGTACCCGTTTTACTTGACCAGGTACGTCGTTACATTAGTCACATTCCCGTACGAGACGACAATAAATAGTGGTCGCAACTTCTGTATGTAACATGACGGCTTGGCCACAAAGGAAGTTCGGTGGTCGACACCGCAGTGAATAGAATAGTGTTAATCGTACGAGCGTAACCAGTAGAAAGACCTCCGTCTTACGACGTTTGTGTGTAATTACCGTGACATTTCACAAAGTCCAGCTAACAAGACCTCTCGTATATGAACCACAGCCTACCTGATCGGTGTCTCGCACGATTGGTTTTTTTGAATTGTTCACAAGAGCCTAGTGTGCTCATCGGTTCCTCCTTGTCATACGTACGCAGTAGGGCCGTAAGGTGCTCCCACGTAGCGGAAGTATAAAAAAAGGAGTAGAAATAGCGTCAAGCGACATTAGTATCAAAACCTGTGTCGCCACACGCACACGTTTTGAAAAAGTAATCTTACATTAGTACTATGATAATATAATTTTGATTATTTATAAATTATCAAACGAAATTAGACAATAGTAAAAAAGTTTTGGTAAAAAAATTGAAACTTATTTGATTCCAATAAGGTTTCATTATTACTAGTCATATAAAGCTAAGAATACTATGAACATGAACTTCTTGGAACTAAATCAAACGTTGACATTCTACAGATAGGGATGTGACATTTAATTGATATCGACATTATGTTTCATAACTAGCGAAATTTTGAACTGAGCATTGCGTTATACTTGCTATAATTAGGGTTAACCACGGAGTATATGGAAATGGCATTCAAAGCAATTTCTTCGAGAACTAGCGTGGCTGACTTTTAAACGCAGACATTTGTTACCAAATACGCCTATGGTTTTACTACACACACAGTGAATAGGCATTATTTAGGTGTGCTTGCTACATACTCGACCTCATCGTCACTTTCCATCAGGTGAGATGGAGGTCAAATGCACACTTATTTTTATGTGAAAAAAAAAACTCAAATATTAATTGATATTAGTTACACAGGCGTTTGCGTATACGTAGCTACAAGCTACAATTACAATATTAATGATTTATTTTATTTATTTATTTATTTTCAGATTACAAAAGACCCATTAACATATATCTACTAACATACATAATAAAAACTATTTATTTATTTACACGTCTGAACGATAGCCGTCCTCGTAAACGCTGGAGCATGACACCCTTCGGCCAAAAGTCTTCCGTCATGAAGGGCGACAGATATTCATTCAGTTGGTACTCTCACCACAAATGAATTAAAATTCACATTGTGGCCGGACTACAACTGCTCGACACTCAGAGCAGCATTGGCTTTCACCCGTATGTACTCCACAATATCCGCAGTCTTTGTGGAGTAATGAAGTGGTGACACGTATAGCAACGTTGTCGGTACCGCTAGACGCAACAGATATTTGGGACCGAGGCGGTGCCACTAAGGTTACGGCTAGTGTACTTTTTTTCTTTTCCACCTTTTTGAAGCCGTCCTCATCGAACTGGTCTACTCCTCTCGATGGCACTGACACAGCGCCAGAGATGAGTTTCAGTTTTTTCTTCTTCCCCTTCGTTGGTTGCCTGGGTTATGGTTGTGAAGCAATAAGTTTGGTAGCAGCGGTAACAGCAGCGTAATCACATCGAGGGGTCAACATGCTCACGACTGACGTCTTCGCCAGGGCGGAAAAACGAGAGACAGGGCGCGGGGAAACGCGCGCGGCGACAGCGGCAGCGGTCGGTGACACATCCATATGGGATATATTATTTATTGTACTGTCATCGTACTTTCATTAACATACTAGATTTCCAGTCTATCCGATCACTGGATGGGTCTAATGAATATTAAAACACAGTAATCATAAAAATCTTTATTCTCAACAATTACCTCTTTCTGAACTGACTGAACATAACAACATCTACAGCGTCCACGAGCTTGTCAAGGGAATGAAGATACTTATTTTCGAAGGCAAAGAAGCGAATAATTTATTTCAAGAAAACTTGTCGAAAAGTAACAGACAACGCTCCAGAAATGTTTTCACATTTAATGTGGTGTATCAATTGCGCAGGCGACTGAGTTTCTTGTCATATCACCTGATTAACTAAATGATTTGTTTCTTGCGTAGGAATTGCCCCTGCTTTTAGAATTTTTCTCTTGTTATTCATAGGTATATAATCTGATGTCATAAAATGCCTATAGCAAATGATGCTATACTTAATTAGGTAGTTCCATTTCCATTTTTTTTTTCCTTAGCCCATTTCTCCTTTAAAAAGGATCCTGCGGGAAACTAAAAAAATCAAAGCAGAAATTGCAAATGTGAATCATGCCTGTGATAAAACTAAGAACTCAAACGGATGAAGGTGTATACTGACAAGTAGTGAGATATAAATCATGTTATTGAGGGAAAGGAAAGCTCCATTCTCATAAAGTCTTCATTTGATACTCCATGAGCTTCCGTACATGGTAAAATTATCGATAGTAAGTAAGTAATCTCCTGTCTATATGTATTTCCTTTTTCTATTAATATATCGTTTTTACTTAAATTACAAAAATAAACGTAAAGGAAATGAAACTATTTTTCTGGATTTTAATCGCGTGTATTTGTTTTTTCAAACATACCGACGTTCCTACCTTAGAACTCGATAAATAAACATAAATTAACTTTTACTAAATATAGTTAACAATACCAGCGCTATTGTGAGAGTCGGGACGAAAACATTTAAGTAATCAAAATTGTTAGCTTTTAAATACCAGTAAACAATTTATGTTTATATATTGGTGTACCGCTATAACAAAAAAAAGTTTAACTAAACCAAAACCGGATTTTTAAATACAGGTTTTCTACTTATCGATAATTTGATTACAATACGCGGACCCAGTATTAAGTGGAGTACGTCGCTAGTAGTTCTTTTGACGGCGGCGATGTCTAGCAACCAATGTATATTGTTATTGCCGGGTTGTCACAACATATTTTTGTTTCGAAATAATAGGGGTTAAAGGATGAAATTGCCGATTTGTACTGAAAATCTAAATTGTTTATTTTTTAAATTTTTAACAAATTTATTTAATCAAAATAGTTGCCATTATTATCTATACATTGCTGCCATCTAATGGGAAGGTTATTAATGCCTTTGCGATAGAACTCCGACGATCTAGACTGCACAAACTGTGTGAAAGCATTTCGTACTGCCTCCTGGGAAGAAAACTTCTTGTCACGTAGATAATTGTCCAAATCACGAAAAAAATGGTAGTCCGTTGGAGCAAGGTCTGGTGAATACGGAGGATGACGAATGGTTTCTAACTGCAGTTCCTGAAGGGTCAAAATGGTTTCTCGTGCTGTGTGAGGTCTCGCGTTGTCGTGGAGCAATAATGGTGAAGATCGATTCATGAGTCGGGGCTGTTTTACTGCTAGTTTTGTCAACATGGTTCGGAGTTCGGCACAATAGACATCTGCCGTTATTGCTTGACCAGATCGGAGAAAACTATAGTGAATAACACCATGCTGAGACCACCAAACAGTTACCATTACCTTTTTATTGGTAAGTTTTGCTTTAGGACACTGTTGTGGCATTTGACCTGGGGTCAGCCATTGCATTTTTCTTTTCCGGTTATCATAAAGAATCCACTTTTCATCACATGTTACTATTCGATCCAATATTCCTTCATTTCTGTACCGGTTCAACAAGGCAACACAAGTTTCAACACGCGTTTCTTTCTGCAGATCAGTCAAATCATGAGGCACCCATTTTTCGTATTTTTTTATTTTATTGATTTGACGCAAGTGAGTCAATATTGTGGGTAAGGTAACGTTAAACCATGCCGCTAATTCCTGGGTAGTTTGACTAGGATCGGCTTCCACTATCTCTCTTAATTCATCGTTATTCACCTGTGTGGGCGGTCTTCCTCGTGACTCGTTCTTTAAGTCGAAATTTCCATCACGAAAGCGTTTAAACCAAAATCGCACGGTGCGTTCATTAGTAGACCCCTCTCCAAACGCAGCATTGATATTGCGGGCTGTTTCTGCCGCGTTAGTTCCGCGTCGGAACTCGTATTAAAAAATCACTCGAATTTTCGCAGTATCCATCTTTCTTGTCTAAATTGAATAACAAAAACAATTGAAAGTCGATATTCAAATGTTTCAAATTAAAAAAAAATCACAGAAACCATTTGAAAAAAGTTTCATTCGAAAACCTCAAACCATGAAGATTCTATGAAAATTCAAACAACCTATTGCAATAAAACGGCAATTTCATACTTTAACCCCTAATATTAGGAAATACAGAGTTTTAGTACTTACCCGTGGAATGAAATCACTCCCGGATTATCTTTTAAACTTTGCCTTCTTACGCGACATGATATAATGGCATATTTCTATTTTTTTCACAAAACATTCTTGTACATTTGAAGGACAACTTTACTGACGCGCTATTGAAGCTCATGGGAGCGTCTGCTCTTAAGCTAGGTAACGCGTGTCCCGCCCACTAACCAGTCTATTACTAGTACATATTTATTTGGACTGTGGAAGCTCCCCTAGCGGGTTTAGAGCGAGACAATACACTGCGCCTACCTAGAGACGTTTGTCACTGGGGCCCTTTACAACGTCACAAGTATTACGTACCTACGAACTGCTACATGCAAGGAATTCTAGAAATATTTTGCTTGAGTGTCATTAATTAAAAATATATAATAATTCCAAGGGTTGAACGCTCGCCACCTCACAATAACATCCAAACATGGCACAGTTAAAAAGTAACTACGAGCAAGAGAACAAAGAAAACTACTTTACGAATACGAACTCGCGTAGTAGGCGACCTAGAAGTAAGTAGTCTTTCATCAACGAGTTTTTATGTTTTAAACTGGAATTCAAGTAAGAGATTGTAGAGATGTTAACGTCCTGGAACGTATGTAGCTCATAATAATAAATTAACTCTGGCAATGCAGCAAAACACGCTTCTAAATATACTTATCACCGAAGACCCTTGAGTGAAATCACAAAACGGAATTAAATAATCTTT